TAGGTATGTTTCAGTGAAATGAAATAAAATAAAAAAGAGATTTGTATGGCTTTATCATGATAGAAATTCCATCAGCTTTTGCTATACTGCCTATTCTTAGGTTATACATACTGGATGCCTTGTGGTAAACCTTAGCTTGCAAATGGTGCTACTTTAAAGCAGGATTATTCTAGTGCATGATTTATGGGAAATCAGCTCAAAGACCACAGCAGCTCTGAAGAGTTCATTTTTTGTATGCCTACAGAGACTTTGCCCTGGAGTAAGCAGTGAAGGATTTCCTGGAAGATATTTAGATACTGAAATGGCAGGAGGATGTGTAGCTGGTAGGATTGGAAATACTCAGTGTTCTAGACTGTTAGTGGGACATTTTTGATTTTTAGCATGTTAGTTTTTTCCCCACTTGCAATTGGAGTGAAGAAAAAAAGATGCTCCAGATGGTCCTGCTCCAGCGCAGAGCCAGAGGAGCCATCTCACTTCAGTGGTGTGATCAAAACAATCCATGAATTGGTGGCTTCTGCTACATCGTGACAGGCCTGTGCTGCTTTCTCCTGGGCAAGCTACTGCTGCCACATATTTTAGGTGGCTGTGCCAGGTGGGGAGCTCTGCTGTGCTGTGGAGTGTTGGTTTAGGTCAATGTTGAATGCCATCAGCCCTGGCATTTCATGTGCTTCCTCCCAGGCACGGTCCCTGTGCAGCAGTGCTTAAGCTGCTAAATGCCAGTTGTATGACCATGACAAGGACATTTGAGTATAAAGCGGTATCCAGGCTCCCCGACAGAAATTTCCGTGTGAAAAACCACTGTTAATTCACCGGCTAGAGTTCAGGGCAAAGGTTTAGATCACGTCTGTTTTTACTCTAACTTGATTGCTCACCTGTAGCAACCAGCCTGTCTGAGAACAAGAGTGTAGGCAAACTCCCCAGGCTATTATTCTGTATTAGAAAAAAAAGAAAAAAAAGGGGGCTGTGGTATGACTTTAGACTTAATCATCATTTATCCTACCCTGAAGGCATGGAAGTTAATGATGATATAGATCTGTGTGGTTTTGTGTTCCCCTTGACTGAGCATTAGAAATAATTAGGGCTTGTGGGATGGATGCACTGATGGTGGAGATGAGCAAAAAATATTATATATTGTCTTCCAAGTTTGCTGGCAAAGATACAGGTGCTAAGTGTGTGCTTATGGGGTCTGAGGTTTCTTGCTTTTTTGTTGAGATAAAACTAGCTTGTGCTGAGGCGAAAGGAAGTGGGAATAAATGAGTTCTGTTATTTTGAAGCCTTTTAAGATTATGGGCCAAGCAGAGTTGCTGGTAATTTCCGAAGAGATTTCTTTTTGGCAGGGTTAGCTCTGCAGTATCCCAGGTGCTCCCGAGTACAGCTCTGGGTTATGCCTGTGGAGTAGGCAGTGCTGGGGCGAAGTCCAGGAGTCACCAGCTGCACAAGAGCTGGCACTAGACCTTTTGAAGTATGGAAGCCTTGCACACGTAGCTGGAGGTGTTCCTGAATTGCCTCCTTTGGTGTGCTGAGTGTTTGGATTACTTGGTTATTAAACAGCCACAGCTAAATACATGCTGACAGTCATCACAGGTTGAATAGGGAAGAACTGGTTCTGTTCCTGTTTTCCTCTGTTCCAGGTGTCTATTTCACCTGCTGCTTGCTCACTGATTCTTCTCCAGCCTGGCCAAATCAGCATTTTTTTTTTTTTTATAAAAACCATTTCAGCAAAAATACTGTTCCTGCCAGGCTGGAAGGTGGTGGGAAGAGAGGTGGTGCTGAGCCTGTCTGGGCTCGTGTAGTGGGAGCAGTGTCCATTCCAGTGACCTCTCTGGCAGTGCAGGACAGGAAGGCTGCCTGAGAGAGCATCCCCAAAGTATGCACTGCTGCCATGGGGAACTCCTCACCTGGGCTCTTGGAGGAGACACCCCCCTTGGAGTGGGGGATGCAGGGGCCCTGTTTTCAGGTGGGCTAGTGGCCTGGAAATGATGCAAATAAAGGACAGACCTATGGAAGTGACTGGGGAGGGTACTGGTGGGGAATATGCAGACACCTTCTATCTCAAAAGAACGAGGGATAATTTGTGTTCCTATACTAGAATTTTGGGGCTTCTCAAAGCAAAATGTCTCTGTCCTTGGAGGTGGTTTAGGTTACTGGCTAAATATATTCATCAGAGCAGATTGATGCAGTGCAGTGATTCTGATGATACAGTGTGGAAGCAGCCCTGAGCAGATGCCTGTGGGGCAGTCTGTGTCTGCTGTGCCTTACAGAGCTGTGCTGGGAGCCCCTCTGCTCTCCACAGCAGCCCAGGGACAGCTTCAAGTCACTCCTCACTTTTACCTTCCTTGAGTTTTGAGTTACTGCATGGTGCCTGTCAAAAGGTGTGTTCCATCCTGTTAATTTACTCTATGCAGATGTGAGAGGATATGAGAAGAACTGAGTCTTTTCTAGCTGGGGATTTAGTATTCATCTCTGCTAGCTGACTCACTAGTCAGAAGATTCCCACTGACTTGACTTAGAGTTGAATGGGCTGTATTATCTTTTCATATGCAGAAAATTATTTTGAATTTGAAGTTAATAACAGCAATTTAAAAATTGTCATTGATAGAAAGATAATACAATATTTAGTTGTATCATGTTCTTTTTATGATCTGATGTTTGCATAAAGCACTTTTTCTGCTTTTTCCTTAATTAGGATGTCATGAAGAAGCTTGTGACATCAAACACAGCATCTAATTACATTCATTAGTAGCATCTCCAGGACAACTTTTAATTAAGTTGTACAATGTAGATCAATACTTGTTTTGCATCCATTGCAACTTAACGACAGGAATATACTGTTCTGCACAGTTTAATTACAGTGATTGTAATAGAAGGAATTTGAGTAAACCTGCCATTTTAGCAACTTCACTGCTGTCTCTTGCTTTTTAAAATAGTATACAGTTATAATACGGGATGTGTTTTTTAGGTGTGTCTTATTTTGAAGAGTATTTTAGGGTCATTCTTTTTATCCCAAGAAAATGCAGTGTAGTTCAGGAGCACTTGGATGGCAGTGCTTGGCTTCAGCTGAAGCAGGAGAAATTAATGACCATTTTACCTGAAGACTTCATAAGGGGAAAGACTGGGCATTACATATGGGTTATGGTGACACTGGGTGACATACCTAGTGGTAGGTGCTAGCAGTACTTTTATTTTGTGTGGGCTTTGGGGTGGAGAGCCGCCTGATTGTATGTTTACTTACTGTGAATATAGTCCAGTGTAGTCTCTGAGTATTGCTTCCACCACATGTCCTGTAGTTTGGTAGCACTGACAGCCTCCAACTGTTTCCTCTCCTGGCAGGAGAAAGCAATCCAGAAATAAAAACCCTGAGCCACCAAATGTGTTTTGCTCAACATCACAAAAATTTAATTGACCAGGCAGGACATGTGTGCCTTGTGATAGTGTCCTGAATTAATACTTGCATACATTGTGAAAATATCTGGATAGGCAAATCACTTTTAAGACAAGTGTTTGCCAGATGTGGGAACTCTGTGTTGTATTTTTTTGTGTTTTGGCCTGGTATACGAGGGACTACAGCAGTCAGCCTTCAGTGCAGTACAATGATAAAGACCAAATTGATTTAGAGAACTTTGGTTTCTTTCAAACTAAATAAATTGCTTAGTCTTCATGTGGTTTTAAATATTCCTTATTATTTTAAAGGAGCAAGCTTTGCTGTTTAGTGTACTTCTGGATTTTCTTACTGTGCTTCCATAAGTGCTCTAGCCCTGAGGGTTAGTTATGATACGTGCCTTCTTCAAATTTGTGCATGCAACCTGCTTGTTTTTCTTCTGTTTCAATCTTTAAGTACCTACATCGTTGCAGTTCTAAAGGAAAGAGCACAGAGCCTCAGCACCCTTTTCAGGCTTACTCTTGGTCTAGATAATCATGTGTTAGACAGTCTTGAAAGTCCAATTACCAAAACTTGCAGTGAGATTTTTAAAGAGTACACAGGGTGGAGATCAGGAGTTGAAGACCCAGGGAAGTCACTGCCTTTTCAGGAAGGACATGAATACAAAAAGTGAGGTCTTATGCAGACAAATATGCTGAGTGATTGTTGTAATCTGATGAAGTGTGCTGTTAAGGTAAATGAAAGTTGCTCCTAAATTGAGATTTTGGATGGCAATTGATGATTCAGAGGCAATCTTCTGCCTAGGAGATTTAGAACCCTGGGTACAGGAGGTGAAAGTTCAACCCCAGAAGCCGCTACAGTTTTTCTTAGCTGAGTTAAATTTGGGTATGTTTAGTCACCTCTGACTTTTCAGGTAATAGGAGAGGAAAAAAATGTTACAAACTTGGGAATACTTTTTGGCTGTTTAATGTAGATTGTTTGTTGCTTGTGTGACTTAAAACTACTCATGAATTTTTGTGTGTAGACAAAAAAAAATCCCTTGCATAGCTTATAATGAAGATGTCAAAGACTTGGAGAAAAATGTGGAAGAGGAAGAAAATAACAGATTCCTGATGAGATTAATACTTGCACATATAATACTTCAGAAATTAAATTCTTGTTTCATTTTTGTCCTAAGGGCCTGATTATGCCAAAGAATACCTGTCACATTAGAAGGAATGTGTTTATTAGCATGCATAGATTTTTGTGACTGTATTTTTATACCTATATACTGTATGTCTTGTGTATACTCACAAACACACAGAGTGCATGATGTACTTATTCCCCCCAGAAGATCAAGGTCCTAAGAATGTGAAGGATCTGGATTTTACAAATCTTCAGTGCACTTGCAACTTGGTTTCTGTGGCAGGTCTCAAAGGAATAAGCTAATGCATACATAGAATTATTTTCATTGTATGACCTCATTGTTAGAGGAGTTCTTGCATTGTTATTCTGCTTTACAGAAATCCAGCTTCCTTGGTTAATTATAAACAATCTGTTTACCAGAGCCATCCACACCTTGAAATATCTGCTGAAGTTTGTGATCTGTCCATCTTTAACAGGTTTTTTCTTTTATTTTCAGTGAATTTACTGGACTCACGTACAGTAATGGGGGATCTTGGATGGATAGCCTACCCAAAAAATGGGGTAAGTCTCTGCTCTTGTTTGCCTTCTCTCTCTCAGAATTTACTAATTGCTTCCATCTGGAAAGTAGACTACTGGGTTTAAAAACTCTCTAGAGTGATTTGTCGGCAGTGGAGGGAAAGAAATAAATAAAACAACAAGCTGTGACTGAAGAAATGGAGCTGTATGGCTAGGGGATTGATTTATTTTTGCAGCAGAGCCAGCCACAAGTATTAAAAAAAAATCATGAGTCAGCCTCCTCCCCCCTCATCAAGAAAATCCATGTGGTTATTTAAATTTCTCTTAAATTATAAATTCTTGGATGTTTTCTTGAGCCTTTGCGGTAAATGTGGAACACAATTTTTTGGAAGTTATCTTCTGAAAAGCAAGATCTGGAAGATGACTGTTAGCTTTAAATGAACAAGGCTGTTCACAAATACATCTCAGATTCATGGTAAAGTTCTTGGACCTGATTACACTGAAACAGGAGTTGGGTTCTAAGCACCTTGAGGAGCCTCTGTCTCTTACCATTACCTATATTAAGAGCCGTTCATCCTGAAAAGAGACAACTGAGACAACTAGGGTGGGTTCCAAGAGGATGGAGCCAGGCTCTGCTCACTGGAGCTGAGCAATAGGACGAGAGGCAATGGGGCAGAACCTGATGCACAGGAAGTTTCACCTGAACATGAGGAAGAACTTGATTATTGTGTGGGTAACAGGTTGCTCAGAGAGGTTGTGGAGTCTCCCTCACTGAAGATGAGTTCAAGAACCCTCTGAACATGATCCTGTGCTGTGTGCTCTGGGATGGCCCTGATGGAGTAGAGAGGTTGGACCAGATGAGCCCTCTGTGTTCCCTTTCAACCTGACCCATTCTTGTGATGCTGTAGCTGAAAGAACCTGGCCTCTTAATTTTATAGTTGAAATAAATGGTGGAGTTTAGATGCATTGACACCCTCCAGTGTATCTGCTTGACCTGACGGTGAGCAGTCTTGGCTGTGATTTTTGGTGTTTGGTTTGGGGCACCCACAAAGCTGTACTGTGACAGAGATTTGGTGCAGTCTTGAAAGGTTGATTTCTGCACCATGCTGGGTATTCCTGTCAGTTCCTGAAAGCCATGAGCACTGTGTGAGGTGAGAAAGCATCCTAAGTTAGACATGCTGCATGTCTGAGCCCTCCAACAGAGCAAGTCTCAGGAATGTGTTATTCCAGAATTTTAGTCACCAGATGAAACAGACTGCATAATTGTCTTGGACTCCAGTTGGATTGTTATATAGATGGAGTTTATATAAAATTCAGCCAACCTTGAAAAAAAAATTATATATATATGCATATGTATATATGTATGTATTAGACAGTAAATTAAAGTCTGTCTTTCCATATATTTTGTATGGGTGAAAGGTTATAAAAACGGCGGCCTCAATCCATGTGTGTGAGACTCACAAGCTGCATGTTTACAGGCACTGCCTACAGCAGGGATGTGAAAGCTACACAGGGATCTGATTTTATTTTCAATTCATTCCAAGATCTAATCCTGTTACAGTTAGTCTATAACCTTTTTTTAAAAAATCTATTGATTTAAAGCTGAGAGTAAAACTTACTCAGCTTGCTTGTGTGGGCATCAGAATAACCAGTGCTGGCAGAGCAATACTTTGGTGCCATGGTGCACCATAGAGATCCCAATATCCATTTCTTAAAGGATGATTTTTTTTTTTTTAACTTTTTGAACATCCTCTGGTACATCCCAATGTCCTTAAATGAATATCAGTAGGAAAACAGGACCGAGAAGTTCAGAATACTTCTGGATCTGCATGTATAGATGAGTAAATCAAAAGCTAACTATCCTACACATAAGCTGCAGTTGTATCTTTTCATTATTTAGGGAAACCTTTCTATATTTACAAGCTCAGTTTCCAAAGAGCACATAGAAGTACACTCAGGAATGCCAAATTAAAGGTTACTGACTCAACAGGGAGAAGTTTTTTTTTCTTTAATTGACTTCTGCTTTGTATTTAAAAGTGAATTAGGCAGTTGGCTTTCAAATTTCCAGAAATCTTGTCTTAATCTTCTTTGTTTTCATGGGACATCATAATAATCCGAGAGGTTAGTCTGTCTTTTTCTTTTGATTAATATATTTGCAGTATTTTATAAGTACTAGGAAAGGTCTTCCCAGAGTTACTTCTCTAGCTGCTGTATCTGCTCTGCAATCAGCTATGCTGCAGTTACACCCTCTTTGCTTAATTTTTTTTTACAGGATTTACCTAATGTAAGTATTTAAACTCACTCTCACTTCAGGATTTGAATTTGGAAAAGGAGGGAGCTTTAATTGACATCAGAGACAGGCATTCTCATGTGTTTCGAGGCATTCTCATACGGATTTGTTATCTCAGGATGTTCTCCTAGGAAAATTTTTAAGGTCCCTGTATTTGTCTGCACAGCCCCCCATGAAGGAAAGGAGCAAAAATGTCAGGTTGTGTCACACTTGGCAACACCAGAGTGTGTAGATGCAAACCATGTTCTGAGGTAAACTTTTTGATGCATGGTGTTTTATTATTGCTGTGAACAGGATCCTGTGGAGTGCAATCACTTTTCAACAGTGGTGCAGTTCCAACTGAAAATACTTTGGTACTCTTCCAGTGTTGCTGGTACTCCACTTGATTTTTTTTTTAATTTTTTTTTATTATTACAATCTTAATTGAACTTAAATGCTTTTCTTAGAACCATAACTGCTAGAAGTAGGAGACTGTATGGGGCACAGTTGCTATTAAAAAAAGCAAGTGTTTAGTCTTTGGCATTGTATGCGAGTGCTTGGGAGAAATTATCTTCATATCACAAAGGCTCAAGCTGCTAGGTTTTGAAAACAGATTTCCACATGTAAAACAAACAAACAAAACCCCACAAAAAGCCCCTACCAAGACAACTGGGATAAGAATTCCAGGCAAGCCAAATGAATTTGCTTTTGGCAGATCCTTTGTAGATATCATAGTCTAAACTTCTATTATAGCTGTGTGCCATGTTAAGTTTTGTGTATTGAATCTTTAAAACATTGCATGCTTCAGAAAGGTCCAGCTGCCCTTGTTTAGTCTCATTTTCACCTCGTTTTTGCTGAACACAATGGGAAAATGTGATCTAACAAGCGAAATGAAAGCAGCATTGTATGGGAAGGAGACTGACTCTCCAACCTGGAGACAGATCAGGCTTAAAGGTAGACCTGTTTTTGTGCTTGTCATATCAAATGAAGAAGCACTGCAGCTGCTGAAGTCTCCCCAGGATCAGACCTTGATCCACTGCTGAACAGTGTGTGCTGGCTCCTCTTGTGAGAAGTGGGTTTTATGGGAAGGGAGACAATCACTTCAGTCAAGGGTGTCCTCTGAAGTGCTTTATCTGGCGAGGCACTTATTTGGTACTGCTTTGGGTGGTGGCCATTATCCATGCAGCCTCGTTGGCCTTCACATTCCCCATGCACATGGAAGGTAAGAAAAATCCCCCTCTTCCTTCAGAAGGACTACAGAGGGATGCATAGGAATGAGATGATTGAAATATGCTATGGCCAAGTTGGATTTTGGAACAATGCCTCCTGGTGTGAAGAACCAGCTGTTGAGCAGGAGAAGGACATTCTTATTTCTTCTGCTGCTTTTCCCTGAAGGGTAAGTAAATAGCAGTAGTGTGGCTTCCTGGCTGCCCCATGTGGGTTCAGCAACTTGCAGCAGTTGTGCAGTCACCTCTTAAACCTGATTTTATCTGTTAAAGTGTGAGCAAACTTCCTGTGAGGTCCTCGTGGCCATGGAGCTCGGAAAAGGGACTCACTCCCTGACAAAAGAGGATGGTCAGCATGGAAAATGCTGACCTTTTTATAGTCAAGTTAGGAATTGATCCTGTTATTACATGCCAAAGGGACAATTCTGACTTCTTTTGTGCAGCTCTTGGAAGTTTGTTTTAACTTGAAGGAGGTTACTGTAATTACCAGAGGCTATATCAGGAAAGTCTGGTCCCTCTTGTGTAGTAGGAAGCCCTCCAAGCATATGAACAAAACCAGTCAGGTTTTCTATTAAAGGCTTGTACAGCAGGCCTGCAAAGTCTTTTACCTCTGGACTGATTCCTGAGGCACTGCTTAGGATTGCCCAGAGTGGGCACATCAGAGGTTTGTGTGTGCACTGTACATGGCTGTGACACTGGACAGCTCTGACCTGCAGAAACTGCCTGTGCTTCTCTGTGCTAAACATACATTTCTATCATGTGGAAGCTTGCAGAGGTAGGAGAAACAGAAATATTCGTGAAATACAGAAAAATGTGTGAAATGCAAAACCAGGAATATTTGTGACAGAAATAATCAGGTGAGGTCAGGCCGTGTTTGCAGGCAGTATTGCATCCTCTCCCTCCCTTGATTTGGCAGGAGGCTGTGTTATGCATTTCAACTTGCTGCAAAGCCATAGCAGGGGCAGAAGCTACAGAGCACCCTGCAAACCCATGATGTGCAGTTTTACCTGGTCAGGCCAAGTGAAAAACAAAGTTGCTGATTAAAATAAAATCTTTCTTTAACTGGTCTGGTTTATTCAGCAATTATGTCTGATTTTTGTTCCAGTGTCTATTATAGGGCTGATTTACTTGTTTCAGACCCTCCCTTCTTTCACTGTTACTTTAAAATCTCTTTCTTTACAGATTAGAAGTACTCTGTTTCTGTCTAAATCAGTGCTGCACACCTGCTTTGCTTTTTTGCCCAAAGGGTTCTCTTCCATCTCTTCCACCTCACACTGATTTTCCTGAACTTCCTGTAGCACAGAACAGGAAAGTCTTTCTGGTCCTTGGGGTATTGGTTCTGTGCTGTGGCTCATTGCACAGCTCCATGTGATGGCCTTTTTATTTCTTTAGGCTCAGACTGGAAAATAAATATGTGCTGAAGAACCTGGTCCTGTGGAGATGTTCATTTTTTGAAATGAATTGTGAGGGAGCTGGATGATTTCTTGCATGTGAACAGCAAGAAGGAAAGCAGTTGCCCCTCCTTTGAGTAGTTAATAAGGCCAAATACT